AACTCTAGAAATCTATTATTATTATTACCATAATAATAATAATAATAATAATAATAATAATAATAATAATAATAAGTCATTTAAGATCCTATGGTTCTATTATTATTGTTAATAAAACCATATAATAATTATTATGATTATTTATTATTATTAATAATAATAATAATAATCAGAGACTAGATGGCGATCTCTCGGGAGGGCTTGCATAGTGTGTTCTTGCATAGGAGAAAAGGTTTGGAAGGCCTTTGGGGTCCTTTCCAACTCTAGGATTCTATTGTTATTATTATTAATATTAGAACTATAGAATTATTATTAATAATAATTATTGTTGTTGTTTTTATTAATATCAAATCAAATCAATCAAATCATTTATTTCGGTCATAGGTAAAGGTAAAGGTAGTCCCCTGACATTAAGTCCAGTCATGTCTGACTCTGGGGTGTGGTGCTCATCTCCATTTCTAAGCCGAAGAGCCAGCGTTGTCCGTAGACACCTCCAAGGTCATGTGGCCGGCATGACTGCATGGAGCGCCGTTACCTTCCCGCCGGAGCGGTACCTATTGATCTACTCACATCTGCATGTTTTCGAACTGCTAGGTTGGCAGAAGCTAGGGCTGACAGCGGAAGCTCACGCTGCTCCCCGGAATCGAACCTGCGACCTTTCGATCAACAAGCTCAGCAGCTCAGTGCTTTAACCCACTGCGCCACCGGGGGCTCATAGACCAGCACAAATTTTTATTAATAATAATAATAATAATAATAATAAGTAGAGACAAGATGGCCATCTGTCAGGAGGGCTCACATGGTGTCTTCTTGCATAGGAGAAAAGTCCTTTGGGGTCCCATCCAACTCTAGGATTTATTTATTATTATCATCATTATTAATAGAACTATATAATTATTATAATAATTATAATAATTGTTATTGTTAATAATAAGCAGAGAGTAGGTGGCTATCCGTCGGGAGGGCTCACATGGTGTCTTCCTGTATAGGAGAAGAGGGTTGGACTAGATGGCCCTTGAATTCCCTTCCAACTTTGGGATCCTTGCCAGCAGTGCTTCTGAACATGTGCAGAAAGTACCCAACGTCTTGCAGGGGAAAAAAAACATGCTGAATGAATGGAACAACGGAGGGTTGACAGGGCCCAACGTCACTTCAAAAACATGTGGCAACCGCACTGTCTCAGGTTCTATTTTTGGGGAACTGGGTCACACAACCTGCCAGCTCCATCCCACGCTGTTGCAATCCGTTTTGGTTTTTTTTTGGGAGCGTTTCCCCGTTCCATGTTGTGCCAAAAAATAAAAATGACAAAGAACAGATTGAGGGCTAGCAGGTTTCCCCCTGTCGTTCATGAACAACTTTGGCAAAGATGACAAAGGTCATCTAGTTCAAGCCTGTTCTGCTCTCAAAGGATCTATATGCAATCATTGAACTGGAAGGGACCCCAGAGGTCATCTAGTCCTACCATATTCTGCAGTGAAAGGATCTATATGCAATCATCAAGCTGGAAGGGACAACAAAGGTCATCTAGCCCTACCATATTCTGCTGTGAAAGAATCTGTATGCAATCATCGAGCTGGAAGGGGCCCCTAAAGCCCATCTAGTCCAGCCCAATTCTGCCATACACCAACCCTGATAGTAATTAGATGAGGAAAGGGAAGGCTCCAGAAACTCTAAGTCAGAAGCACCTTGGTTCGGCCCAGTCCTCTGTCCTGTTGGCCTCGGAATAATCCCAGATCGGCACATTTTTTGGGGATGCTGAGCCTTCCTGTCAACAGAAGATGCTGCTTGGTGCGTAAGGCCGGAGGCATGCAATGACTCCCGGGACACGTTTCACCGGGCGCTTGCTCCACCCTCGGGGTTTGGCACCTGGCGCAGAGGCAAGTCCTGCCAATTTTCATGAGCTGAAGGAGGGAACGCAGGGATTTTTTACGGCATCACCTTGCCGAAGACGCGTTCCCCCCCTTGAGGGCATTATTAACTAATTACCAAAAAAACAACAGCGCTGCAAGGTGCCAGACCTCAAGGAACACCTTTGGCACCATGGTGGGTCAGAGGATGAGCCCCGAACCTGTGGCACCGTCCCAATCAGCACCTTGAAAGCCACCTCGTTGGCATTGCCATGGGTTGCAACGCCTTGGGGCTTTTCTTGGGCCTTTTCCTGCTTGGGTTCGGGGCCGGCGCAGGTTGGCGCCGGGGGGTTCGGAGCTACCCACATTTGCAGGGTGACGTGCGCTGGAGACGGCTGTACTCCGCCAACCACTTCTTCCTGCGCATCGACGGTGATGGAAAAGTGGATGGCACCCGACAGAAGGAGAATCCCAACAGTAAGTGCGTCCCGGTGCAGGAGCATCCCTTATCCAGAACCCGCAAATTATGGGCTCAGGATTGCTTATTTGGAATGCCAAAATCCATCGATCCATGAATGAGGCAAATCTAATCTATCTATATGGAAAATATCTATCTATCTATCTATCTATCTATCTATCTATCTATCTATCTCTATCCATCCATCCACCCACCCATCTGGAAAATCTATCTATCTATCTATCTATCTATCTATCTATCTATCTATCTATCTATCTATCTGTCTATCTCTATCCGCCCATCCACCCATCCAGAAAATCCATCCATCCATCCATCCATCCATCCATCCATCCATCCATCCATCCATCCATCCATCTATCTATCTATCTATCTATCTATCTATCTATCTCCATCCATCCATCCATCCATCCATCCATCTATATCATCTATCTATCTATCTATCTATCTATCTATCTATCTATCTATCTATCTATCTATCTATCTTATCCATCCATCCATCCATCCATCCATCCATCCATCCATCCATCCATCCATCATCCATCCATCCATCTATACATTCATCAATCCATCCATCCATCCATCCACGAGGCAAATCTATCTGTCTATTTATCTATCTATCTATCTATCTATCTATCTATCTATCTATCTATCTATATTCATCCAACCACCCACCTACCCATCCATCTGGAAAATCTGTCTGTCTATCTATCTATCTATCTATCTATCTATCTATCTATCTATCTATCTATCTCTCTCTCTCTCTCTCTCTCTCTATTCATCCATCCACCCACCCATCTATCTATCATCTATCTATCTATCTATCTATCTACATCCATCTATCCATCCATCATCATCTATCTATCTATCTATCTATCTATCTATCTATCTATCCATCCATCCATCCATCCATCCATCCATCCACCTATCCATCCATCCATCCACCCACCCCTACCTACCTACCTACCTACCAACCTATCTATCTATCTGTCTATCTATCTATCTATCTATCTATCTATCCATCCATCCATCCATCCATCCATCCATCCATCCATCGAGCTAGCCATCCACCCATTATCAGTCCATGTATCTACCTGTCTATCTATACATTAATCAATCCATCCATCTATCCATCCATGAGGCAAATCTATCTATCTATCTATCTATCTATCTATCTATCTATCTATCTATCTATCTATCTATCTATCTATCTATTCTCAATCTATCCATCTACCCATCTATCCAGAAAATCCATCCATCCATCCATCTATCTATCCATCTACCCATCCATCCAGAAAATCCATCCATCCATCCATCCATCCATCTATCCATCTATCTACCTACCTATATACCCACCCATCCATCCACCCATCCATCCATAAGGCAAATTTATTTATCTATCCATCCATCTCTATTGATCAAAGCCCATTATTGTCATGGAGATATTGTGAGGCAGGCCTTCTCATAGGATTAAACATGAAGACATAGGTTTTTTTTTTAATTGTTCACTGTTTTTATGCTTTTAGATACATTGTGATGTTTTTCTCTGTTTTTACTGATGTATGTATTTTTATATGGCATTGAATTGTGCTGACTTGTTCGCTGCCCTGAGTCGCTTTCGGACTGATATAGGCGGGGTAGAAATGGTGTAAACAAATAATAGTTGGAGAAAGGGAAAAAGTCAGTGGGCAGTGGGCCAAAGTACTGGTGGGGTCCCAATTCAGGCCAGGCACAAAGGGAAATACTGACAATATTGGCTGCATTAAAGGGCTTCCTGACCTTTCCTCCCACCAGATATCATGGAAATCCGCTCTGTGAACGTCGGCACCGTGGCCGTCCGCGCCATCCACAGTGGCTACTACCTGGCCATGGATGGCAACGGGAGGATCTACGGAACGGTAGGAAAGATGCCCATATTTGGGGGGGGGGGGGGGGGGGGGGGGGGGTTACTATTCCAAAACTTTACGACAGGAATCTATATTGAATCACTGCAATGGAGGGGACCCCAAAGGCCATTTAGTCTATCCAATCCAATCCCATTCTGCCATATCAAATCACTGTGCCAGAGGAAACCCCAAAAACTATCTAGTTCATCCAATTCCATTCTGCCAGGAATCTATATTGAATCACTGCACTGGAGGGGACCCCAAAAGTCATCCGTAGTCCATTCTGCCATGAAATAATCTATATGGAATCTTTGAGCTGGAAGGAACCCCAAAGTCCATCTAGTCCTCCATATACAATAAACAATGCATACTGAAATGCAATAATAAAAAGCCAATAATTTCGGTTTCTCTCTTGCAGAAGGCCTATGGCCCCGACTGCAAGTTCCAGGAGCGCATCGAGGAGAACGGCTACAATACCTATGCCTCCCTGCTCTGGCGCCACCGCGGCCGGCCTATGTTTCTCTCCCTCAACGCCCGGGGCTCCCCTCGCTGGGGGACCAAGACTCGGAGGCAGCAGCCCTCGGCCCACTTCTTGCCCCTTCTTGTCTTCTGAGAGGAAGAACATACTAAGAATGAGAGCTGGCCATCTGTCGGGACGGCTTCGATTGTGCCTTCAGTGCCTAGCATAACAGAGTTGGACTGGAAGGCCCTTGAGGCCTTCTAATATCTATGAGGCTGGATTGCCATCTGCTAGGTGTGATTGGATGGTGTTATCCTGCATGAAAATGGTTGGACTGGATGGAGGTCTCTTCTAACTCTAGGATTCCAAAGATTCTCAAAAGTCTACGGATTTCAGCTCCCAATTGGTCGAAGATCCAGGTCTCACCCTCCACTCTGCTCGGCATCCTCCCTTTCAAGCTTGAAGCAGGAACTTAGTTCAAACTTTTCGGCAGGTCTCCAACGGAAAGGGGTTTCACCTGAGAACCGACTACTGGGAATGACAGATTTCCTTCTCTTCAGGGCACCAGGATTCACCCCCCACTCTGTTCCACTTTCTGCCCAGAAGCGTGATGAAATCTAACCCCTCCCTGATCTATGTCAGGAGCAGACCGTATAAATTTCCGAAAACAACTTTTCGTCCGAGACAAGCTTCGAGGTCAGCATCTTAAATTCTGTATTTATGACTATTTATTAAATTTTGCAATAAAACGGGGAAATGTCAACTGTTTTCAAATTGTTGTGCAATTGGGAGGCGAGTCATACTCTCTCAGTGTCAAAACAAGGCAATGTTGAGACATCTCCGGAGAAAACTTTGGACTCTGTTGAAAGCTCTGGGAGCCAACTTTCGGCCCCTTTTACTTATGGATTTCGGCTTCGAAAGGAGCCTGAAACTTGCCCTAATTTGAGCCACAAACATTTGAAAAACCACTAAGGCTAAGTTTGGAAAACTGGAGCGAGGAGGAGGAGGAGGAGGAATGAGTCACTGGGTCAGCCTTTGGGTGACCTCTAGGATCCTCACTGTGACACACATAAGGCGCATTTTTGCCGTACAATCCTAACTGCATCCCACGTTTTGGCCTTCCGGGAGTGGCCCTTTCAGTCCCGTTGCTGCTGCCTACCTCCCAGCCGTCCCGGTTTGGGGTTTCCGCCTCCACAAACATTCCCATTTTCTCAGTGGCTTTTCAAATGTCCCACTTTCTCCTTCCTTCTCCTCCTCCTCAAGTCTTCCACTCCCTTCCTAAGGCTGCAAACTGCATTCCTAGTAGAGTTGTGCGTGGAATTCGTTTCTCCCATTTCATCTATTCTTTTGTTACTTTCGTTACTGTTGGGAGCACGTAACGGGAAGGCCCTCCGGATCAAAAATCAGCTCCACACAAAAGCAAGCAGGAGCTGATCCCGGCTTCTCACCTGCTTTTCGGCATCACAGTTTAATCTTTTTTATTAATCCCCTAGCAAACAAAAAATAAACTCTCATTCCCTGAAAACTACTCTCCTCTTCCAGGAGGTCATTGCTTTTCCTTACCTGGAAGTGGGAAGCCTCTTTAAAATGCCTTGGAAAGAGTGCGTGGCTGGCTGGCATGATGTGGAGCCCGGGAGAGAAAGCGTGTGCACCTGCTAATGCCTTTTCTAGACTAAGGAACAGAGAACTTGCCTCCTTGCCTTGGAAAGAGAGTGTATGTGTAGCATGCAGGCCCAGAAAGCGTGTGCATACCAATGCCTGCAGCTGAGCACCTTCTTACTCTAGAGGAGGCTGCAAGCACTGGCAGACGTGCACTTTCTGGGCCTGCATGCCATACACACGCTCTCTTTCCAACAGACCTTACCTTGGAAAAAAATGCGTGTGGTGTGCAGGCCCAGGAAGCGCGCACGTCTGCCAGTGCCTGCAGCTGAGCGCCTTTTTACTCTAGAGGAGGAGCTCAGCTGCAGGCACTGGAAGGCACGCATGCACTCTTTCTAACAGAATCTGCCTCTTTGCCTTGGAAAGAGAGTATGTGTGTAGCGTCCAGGCCCAGAAGGCACACGTGCCTGCCAAAGCCTGCAGCCGAGGGCCTTCTCACTCTAGAGGAGGTGCTCAGCTGCAGGCACTGGCAGGCACGCACTTTCTGAGTCTGAACACTACACACACACTCTTTCCAACAGAACTTGCCTTGGATATAGAGTGCATATGTGGCATGCAGGCCCAGAAAGCGCGCACGCCTACTAGTGCCTCTGCAGCCGAGCGCCGCCTCTAGAGTAAGAAAGAGCAGGTAAGAACTGAAGCCTCCTCAAAGTGTGCACTTGCCTGCAGCTGAGAGCCTCTCCTCTAGAGTAGAAACAGCTTTAAAGATGCCTAAAATGATGGGAAGGGGACCCCGGGAAGCTCCCTCCCCATAATGGGCTGATAGAAAATGGATCTTTCGGCACCCCAGAACAAAAACGGGTATCTGCCTTCCCAATTTCAAGAGGCTCCCAAAAAACAGATCGGGCCCCCACCGAAAGCCGGGACACGAAACAAGTCAAGGTTTACTCAGAAAGCACAACCCTAATTCCTGGTTTGAGGAAAATACCCTACAAAATCGAAAGGGATGGAAACAAAATCTTTTTTTTCCCTGCCAAAGGAGCTTGAAAATATAGGAAACAGGGGCTTTCAAGTCCAGGACGACCGCGGATGAATGCTAGGATTCCCAAAACTATAGGGAAACAGTGCCTTTTTTTGGGCCGCTACTCATTTCTCAAATTCATTGGCGTGCCTTCCGGCTTCCAGATTGGGTCCTGTTCTTTTTTGGGTCCTCGCCTTTGTTGAACGTCTCGAGCAGCAAAGGACCATTTTCGGAAACAGACGGCGTGGTTTTACGGAGGTAGGAATAAAACAACAAGAATATAAAAGTTGAACGTACAGAAGGTTCCTCCTAGACCCGGAAAGGAGAGGCTCAGACAGGTAGAACTTGAAAAATAGTGTTTTTTGAGCTCTCCAAAAGGAGCAGCGTACCCGTAATGTCCACAAAGGGATTTCCCATCTCTCTTTGGAAATGGGTGCTGTCGACCGGTGGATGGAACTCCTTCTAATGTTCAACCAAAATTAACCCTCAGACCTGGTTTGCAGAGCCATTTAGGGCCGATTCTCCCTTCCTTCTTTCTCCAAAGGAAAGGTGGTTTTAAAATTATGAAAATGATCTTTGAAGCTCTACTCTGTTGTTTTTATTGCTGTTGTGATGTTTTATATTGTTTGTTGTTTTAACTGGTATTATGTTTTTATGTATACTGATTTGTTGGAAACCGCCTTGAGTCACCGACTGGCTGAGAAAGGCGGTATACAAACACAGCAAATAAATAAATAAATAAAATACTCTTCTCCTCCTTCCAAAGGCAAGATAGTTTAAAACTATGAAACTGAGGCTTCTGAAGCTCTGCTCTTTTTCTTCCTTCTTCCAAAATCAAGGCAGTTTAAAAACTATGAAATTGAGATCTCTGATGCTCCACTCTTCACTCTTTCCTCCAAAGGGAAGGCAGTTTAAAAACCGTAACACGGAGATCTTTAAAGCTCCATTCTTCTCCTTCATTCCCCCGAAGGCACGATAGCTTAAAAACTATAAATGGAGAACTCTAGAGCTCCACTGTTCTCTCCTCCCTCCAAAGGCAAAACAGTTTAAAAACTGTAAAATTGAGATCTTTGAAGCTCCACTCTTCTTTCCTTCCTCCAATGGAAAGGCAGTTTAAAAACTGTATCATGGAGATCTTTAAAGCTCCATTCTTCTCGCCTTCATTCCTCTGAAGGCACAATAGCTTAAAAACTATAAATGGAGATCTCTGGAGCTCCACTGTTCTCTCCACCCTCCAAAGGCAAAAGAGTTTAAAAACTGTAAAATGGAGATCTTTGAAGCTCCACTCTTCTCTCTTCCCCCGAAAGAAAAGGCAGTTTAAAAACTATCAAATGGAGGTCTCTGGCACTCCATTCTTCTCCCTCCCTTCCTCTGAAGGCAAGGTAGCTTGAAAACTAGGAAATTGAGATCTCTTGAACTCCACTCTTCTCTCCTCCCTCCGAAGGCAAAGCAGTTTAAAAACTATGAAATGGAGATCTCCGGAGCTCCACTCTTCTCTCCCTCCTCCTCCCTCCGAAGGCAAAGCAGTTTAAAAACTATGAAATGGAGATCTCTGGAGTTCCACTCTTCTCTCCCTCCTCCTCCCTCCGAAGGCAAAGCAATTTAAAAACTATGAAATGGAGATCTCTGGAGCTCCACTCTTCTCTCCCTCCTCCTCCCTCCGAAGGCAAAGCAGTTTAAAAACTATGAAATGGAGATCTCTGGAGCTCCACTCTTCTCTCCCTCCTCCTCCCTCCGAAGGCAAAGCAGTTTAAAAACTATGAAATGGAGATCTCTGGAGTTCCACTCTTCTCTCCCTCCTCCTCCCTCCGAAGGCAAAGCAATTTAAAAACTATGAAATGGAGATCTCTGGAGCTCCACTCTTCTCTCCCTCCTCCTCCCTCCGAAGGCAAAGCAGTTTAAAAACTATGAAATGGAGATCTCTGGAGTTCCACTCTTCTCTCCCTCCTCCTCCCTCCGAAGGCAAAGCAATTTAAAAACTATGAAATGGAGATCTCTGGAGCTCCACTCTTCTCTCCCTCCTCCTCCCTCCGAAGGCAAAGCAGTTTAAAAACTATGAAATGGAGATCTCTGGAGCTCCACTCTTCTCTCCCTCCTCCTCCCTCCGAAGGCAAAGCAGTTTAAAAACTATGAAATGGAGATCTCTGGAGTTCCACTCTTCTCTCCCTCCTCCTCCCTCCGAAGGCAAAGCAGTTTAAAAACTATGAAATGGAGATCTCTGGAGCTCCACTCTTCTCTCCCTCCTCCTCCCTCCGAAGGCAAAGCAGTTTAAAAACTATGAAATGGAGATCTCTGGAGTTCCACTCTTCTCTCCCTCCTCCTCCCTCCGAAGGCAAAGCAGTTTAAAAACTATGAAATGGAGATCTCTGGAGCTCCACTCTTCTCTCCCTCCTCCTCCCTCCGAAGGCAAAGCAGTTTAAAAACTATGAAATGGAGATCTCTGGAGTTCCACTCTTCTCTCCCTCCTCCTCCCTCCGAAGGCAAAGCAGTTTAAAAACTATGAAATGGAGATCTCTGGAGCTCCACTCTTCTCTCCCTCCTCCTCCCTCCGAAGGCAAAGCAGTTTAAAAACTATGAAATGGAGATCTCTGGAGCTCCACTCTTCTCTCCCTCCTCCTCCCTCCGAAGGCAAAGCAGTTTAAAAACTATGAAATGGAGATCTCTGGAGTTCCACTCTTCTCTCCCTCCTCCTCCCTCCGAAGGCAAAGCAATTTAAAAACTATGAAATGGAGATCTCTGGAGCTCCACTCTTCTCTCCCTCCTCCTCCCTCCGAAGGCAAAGCAGTTTAAAAACTATGAAATGGAGATCTCTGGAGCTCCACTCTTCTCTCCCTCCTCCTCCCTCCGAAGGCAAAGCAGTTTAAAAACTATGAAATGGAGATCTCTGGAGTTCCACTCTTCTCTCCCTCCTCCTCCCTCCGAGGGCAAAGCAGTTTAAAAACTATGAAATGGAGCTCTCTGGAGCTCCATTTTTCTCTTCTCATGCCTTCCTCCGAAGGAAAAGCAGTTTAAAAACCATGAAATGGAGGTCTCTGGAGCTCAGTTTTTCTCTCCTCCTTCCTTCCTCCAAAGGCAAGGTAGTGTAAAAACTATGAAATTGCGGTCTCTGGAGCTCTGCTCTTCTCTCCATCCTTCGAGGCCCCAAGACAGTTCAAGAAACCTGGAATGGAGGTTTCAGGCGCTCGGATCTTACCTCCTTTCTCCAAAGAGCTCTATTCCAGATTTTGTAAACTGCCCTGAGACTTTTTAGGTTGAAGAGCGAAGCCCAAGACACCTCCATTTTAGTTTTCAAACTCCCTTGCCTTCGGAGAAAGAAGGAAAGGAGAATCAGCCTCAAATGGCTCTGCAGTTAAAAAAACAAAACAAACAGAAACACAGCTGTTTGTTTGAGGTTGCATCATCCATTTTCCCCTTTTGGAGGTAAGGCATTTTATTTTTAAAAAACCAGAAACTGACTAATCAAAGGCAGATTTTGTTTCTTGTGTAATAGTTGCACCTGTGAATGGGGGAAAATGCAACTACTATGCAGTAAAATAGGTTAAACTGTACGGCGCAACCTTGCTGCCCAGACCCCTGCCCCCAGAAGCACAAACCCCTCTGCTTCTGAGCTGAAATGTCCATTTATTTAACAGCGGTAATAATAATTTAAAATTATAAAAACCCCTTTTGTTTTCCTCCGTGTCGAACGGCGATGCTAAATGAGAGAGAGGAGACGAAACCAAGGAAGGCTGCAATGGGAGAGACAGGGCGTCGCTTCAAAACAACAGAAATACCGCTTCCCCATCGATGTGGAAAACCCACCGGGAAGGAAGGGAGCAGAGCATTATTTACAAACCCTTCCCAATTTCTGAGGCGCGAGAAAACAAGAGAAACGGAGGGGAAGCGATTGGTCATAATAGGGAGGGGGGGGGGAATAAAAGAAAGTCCTAAAACTCCTCCCTTCGGCATCTGAGCGTTTTAGGATGAAACATTTGGTGTTTAATGACCGCCGACAAAAGAAATGGCGAGACAGGATGCCGAACGTGGGGAGGAAAAAGGGGTTTCCAGAGGAGATCTTTCCGCCCGCCGTTTCGGCACCCGGAGACAACGACGAAAGAAAAGAAAACAAAAAGGGACGAGAGCGATGCCGTGGTCTCGTCTCCCGGATCCGCCGTGGTGCCGCTTCTTCAGGAGTTGTTGGCCGAGTTTTCGTTGCTCGGTGAACTGGAGGATGAGGAGGAAGAGGACGAGGAGGAGGAGGCGGCGGCGGCAAAATTCATGGCTGAAAGTCCCGGCGGGTTCGTGGCGGTGTTCTGTCCGCTGAGGCTTTTCCGGCACACGGGACACGTGTCATGCTTGTGTTGGAGAGAAGGCAGGCAGGCAGAAACACGGACCGGAAGAGACCAACAGAAAGGAAGAGGTTAGGAAAACAACAAGAGGCAGGCCTGCGTCTACACTGAATGCTGTTCGGACCCACCTCAACCCAAGGCCACAAGATCCTGGGAGTTGTGGTTTGACAAGGCCTTTTGCCTTCTCTCTGGGCGCCTCGCCAAACAACAACATCCAGCACTCCATAGTACTGAGTCCTGACAATTCAATCGGGTCAAACTGAATTCATTTGGACCCAGAGAATGCCTTGCAAAGTTACAAACTGCATTCATTTAGACCCAGGAAACGCTTTGCAAAACCACAAACTGCATTCATTAGGGCCAAGACAAGGCCTTGCAAAGCTACATACTGCATTTGTTTGGACCAAGAAGGCCTTGCAAAGCTACAAACTGCATTCGTTTGGATCCAAGAAGGCCATGCAAAGCCACAAACTGCATTTGTTTGGACCCAGAGAAGGCTCTGGACCTTGCAGAGCTACAACTCCCAGGATTCCACGGCCTTGAGCCCTGGAAGTTGGGTCAAATTGATTTCATTTTGGGCCTAGAGGAGTCTCTGGACCTTGCAAAGCTATAACTCCCAGGATTCCATTGCCTTGATCCCTGGCAGTGGAGCCCCAGGTGGCGCAGTGGGTTAAACCCCTGTGCTGGCAGGACTGAAGACCGACAGGTCGCAGGTTCGAATCCGGGGAGAGGCGGATGAGCTCCCTCTATCAGCTCCAGCTCTTCATGCGGGGACATGAGAGAAGCCTCCCACATCAAATCATCCAGGCGTCCCCTGGGCAACGTCCTTGCAGACGGCCAATTCTCTCACACCAGAAGCGACTTGCTCCTGACACGACAATAAAATAAAATAAAATAAAAATCCCTGGCAGTTCAATTGGGTTGAATCGCATATATCTGACAGTGCAAATGCACCCTGAATTTCAGGAAAGGCCCAAGAGCGAATCTCTGAATCCATAAGCTCAAGCATGCAAGGATCCAGAAGTGCCTCGACACACAGCCCTGGGAGTTGTAGTTTGGTATGGTCTTAGGCCTTCTCTGGGTTGGTAGAGTAAGGCCATTGGGCAGCACTTTAACGGGAGCTGTAGTTCCACAAAGTCTTAGGCCTTTCCTTGCACTATAGAAGGAATGCCATCACTTTAATGCTATGCAAACCAGGAAGTCGTAGTTCCGCAAGTTCCTCAGAACTATAGAATGCATGCGGTGTGGCTTCACTGTAATGCTCTGGGAGTTGTAGTTTTGCAAGGTGTTCCCCACCTCCAACAATGTGATAAGTATGCAGTTCGGCACCCCTAGCGCAAAGCTATGAGAGTTGCAGTTTGGGTAGGCCTCAACCTTTTTGGGCAGAGCAGGCGCAAGGCTTTGTAAAACTACAGCTCCTAGAATCATAGAGCTGGAAGAGACCTCATCCAGTCCAACCCCCTGCCAAGAAGCAGGAATATTGCATTCAAATCACCCCTGACAGATGGCCATCCAGCCTCTGTTTAAAAGCTTCCAAAGAAGGAGCCTCCACCATACTCCGGGGCAGAGAGTTCCACTGCTGAACGGCTCTCACAGTCAGGAAGTTCTTCCTCATGTTCAGATGGAATCTCCTTTCTTGTAGTTTGAAGCCATTGTTTCGCGTCCTAGTCTCCAGGGAAGCAGAAAACAAGCTTGCTCCCTCCTCCCTGTGGCTTCCTCTCACATATTTATACATGGCTATCATATCTCCTCTCAGCCTTAACTTCTTCAGGGTAAACATGGCCAACTCTTTAAGCCGCTCCTCATAGGGCTTGTTCTCCAGACCCTTGATCATTTTAGTATTCCTTAATTGCATATAGTAGAGAAGCAGACAGAAGATCATAGAATCATAGATTTGGAAGAGACGTCGTGGGCCATCCAGTCCAAACCTATTCTGCCAAGAAGCTGGAAAATTGCATTCAAGGCACTCCTGACAGATGGCCATCCAGCCAACACAGTATTTTCTATAGGTAATGAGGGTTCTGAGTAGGAACTTTGGCCCAGTCGCCGCTGCATTTCCCACCCTTGGCTTATACTCGAGTCAATACGTTTTCCCAGTTTTTTGTGTAAAATTAGGTGCCTCAGCTTATATTCGGGTCGGCTTATACTCGAGTATATACGGTAAGTGGAACTAAAACTCCGAGGGCTCTGTCGCATTAAAGAAGGGTCATTCTTGACGGGGCTTCATTTCTGCTGTCCTGGAAACTAGGACTTAATGGAGCCATAGGTTCAAATGATAGGGAAGGAGATTCCACCTGAACATTAGGAAGAACTTCCTGACTGTTCAGCAGTGGAACTCTCTGCCTTGGAGTCTGGTGGAAGCTCCTTCCTTGGAAGCTTTTAAACCGAGGCAGGATGGCCATCTGTCAGGGGTACTTTGATTGTGCTTTTCCTGCACGGCAGAGGGACTAGATAGCCCATGGGGTCTCTTATATATTTTTTTTTATTTAGAGCTTTTATATCCCGTTCTTTCTCAACCTCCACAGATAAACTCAGGACGGCTAACAAAGTGGCACCTCATGGCGCCCACATCAAAACATAAATACAATTAACAACAATATAAAACAGTATAAAAACCGTATAAACAATATAAAAACAGACAAACTGTCAGTGGACATCAATTTAAATCATTATCCAAGGGCAGTCCATCAGTTCTAAATAAGTCAACACGTCAGTAGGTCAGCCTATTCTCCAAAGGCCTGATCCCATAGCCTGGATTTTACTTGTTTCCGGAAGGTCAAGAGGGATGCAGCAGATCTAATTTCACTCAGGAGGGAGTTCCATAGCTGGGGGGTCACCACAGACAATGCCCCGTCCCTTGTCCCCACCAGAGGCAATTGTGACAATGGGGGGACAATGAGCAGGGTCTCCTCAGATGATCTTAGGGCCCCAGGTGGATCGTACTGGGAGATAATCTGACTATATTATGCTATGATTCCCCTTTGGGGACTCACCTGCTCCAGCCAGGGGACAATGCAGCCATCATGGAAAAGGTGGTTGCAAGGGAGCTGCCGGACGCTCTCCCCGGCTTCATAGTCCTCCTTGCAGACAGGGCACTCCAACCCGGAACCTGCACAAAGGGAGAAGCATCACGGAGTCATCCCACAACCTTTTTTTATGCGCACAACTCAACGCATCGCAATTCTCGACCGATATTCAAACCGCCAGATTGAAAGGCCTCCAAATAATAAAGTGGATTGGCTGCGGGGAGGTGGAGTGGACCACTGTCACGTGACTGGGAAAGAAAGGGAATAAAGCAGTATGGCTGCTGCTAGGTGACACGTGAACGAGGGAAAAAGGGGGAAGGAAGGAGAGGGGAAGAAAGAAGGAAGAAAGGAAGAGAAAGGAAATGGGAAAAGCTATGAAGGGTGGAGAGGGAAAGGGAAAAAAGGAAAGAGAGAAAAATACAAGAAAGAAAGGATGAAAAGAGGAAGAGAGAAAAACATGGGAATAGGAAGGAAGAAAACATAGAAAAAAGGAAGGGAGGGAGGAAGTGGGAAGGTGTATGACGGAAAGCAAGCAAAGAAAGAGTAAGAAAGGAAGCAGAAAGAAAAAATGCAGGGAGGAAGGAAGAGAAAGGAGAAAGATGTGAGGGGAGATGGGGAAAGAAAGAGAAAGAAGGGCAGAGAAAGGAATAGAAAGAAAGGAGGAAAGGAAGACAAGAAAAGATGGGAAAAGGAAGAAAATGGAAAGGAAGGAAGGGGAAAGGTGTATGATGAAAAGCAAGTAATGAAAGAAAGAATAGGAAGGGAAAGAAAGGAATGGAAAAGAAAGAAGAAAGGAGGAAGGAAGAGAAAGTTGTGAGGGGAAGGGAAAAACAAAAAGAAGGTCAGAGAAAGGAAGGGAAAGGAAGGGATAAAGGAAAGAGGGAAGAGAGGAAAAGATGGGAAAAGGAAGGAAGAAAAGAGAAAGAAAGAAGGTAGGAAGAGGGAGAAGGTGTATGATAGAAGGCAAGGAAAGAATATTCCACCCTTCTCACCCCGCAGGGGACTCAGGGCGATTTACAGTGTACACATATATGGCAAACATTCAATGCCAATTTTGACATACAACATATACAGACATACACAGAGGCTATTTAACTTTTTCTGGCCGCCAGGGGAGCTGTCGCTTTCATCGTCCATCTGCAACACTGATGAAGTACTTCTGCATTCCCCGCATGCTTTTTTGCTGGAGTCTTTTTTTATGGCCTCATAAATTAGTTAATTTAGCCTCCCCACACTTTAAGGTGGTACCTAATTTTCCTACTTGACAGATGCAACTGTCTTTCGGGTTGCAAAGGTCAACAACAGGCTACACAATTGGTTGGAAACCCACTCCAACCCGGGCTGGCTTCGAACTCATGACCTTTTGGTCAGAGTGATCTTAATGCAGCTGACACTCAGCCAGCTGCGCCACAATCCCGGTGCATGTAGACATGAAAAACATGGCTGTATAAAACCTTTAAATACAGATGGGTGTTTTTCGGAATTAACCTGGCATGATGTGAGTTGTAGTTCACCCACAATCTTAGGCATTTTGTACAATTAAAAAAATGACTTTTTCAAATAACCCAGGCAATGCCGGATACCCAAGATAGTAATATAATAATAATAATAATAATAATAATAATAGAATCCTAGAAATGGTATATAGAGTATAGGATTAGTCAGGCCTGCTTTAAATAGGAAGTCAACAGAGAGCGTACACTATGGCATAGGAATTAGTTCATCCTGGGGGTTAACCCGACATGATGTGAATTGTATGCCTTTTGTACAATTAGAAAATTGACTTTTTCAAATAACTTGGGCAATGCCAGGTACCCAAGCTAGTAAGCTAGTAAGTATAAAAATGCATGGCCGCAGAATGTTAGAGATACCAGATAAAACATAACCCCCTTTCTGCGGGAGATATGGCCTCTAATTTAGTAATTACAAACTCTACTGAAAGGAATGCTGGTCGCTTCCTTACAGGGAAAACCAGCTGATCCAAACCATCTAAAACTCAGACATGTGACTTTCACCTTAAGAACAGACAAGCATCTCGAGCTCTGAGGATGACCTGGGAAGGAATCCCACTGGAGCATTGCAGCGCACCCAAATACCTGGGAGTCACTCTGGACCGTGCTCTTACCTACAAGAAGCACTGCCTGAGTATCAAGCAAAAAGTGGGTGCTAGAAACAATATCATATGAAAGCTGACTGGCACAACCTGGGGATCACAACCAGACACAGTGAAGACATCTGCCCTTGCGCTATGCTACTCTGCTGCTGAGTATGCATGCCCAGTGTGGAACACATCTCACCACACTGAAACAGTGGATGTGGCTCTTAATGAGACATGCCGCATTATCACGGGGTGTCTGCGCCCTACACCACTGGAGAAATTACACTGCTTAGCCGGTATTGCACCACCTGACATCCGCCGGGAAGTAGCAGCCAATAGTGAAAGGACCAAGGCAGAGACATCTCCAGCTCATCCCCTGTTTGGGTATCAGCCAGCACGTCAACGACTTAAATCTAGAAATTTCTAAGATCTACAGAGACACTCGCTGGAACACCTCAGCAAGCGAGAGTCCAAAAGTGGCAGGCTCAAACCCAGAACCTCAACCAATGGCTGATACCAAATGAGAGACTCCCCCCTGGGCACACAGAGGACTGGGCGACTTGGAAGGCGCTGAACAGACTGCGCTCTGGCACCACGAGATGCAGAGCCAACCTTCAGAAATGGGGCTAGAAGTGGAATCCTCGACATGCGAGTGTGGAGAAGAGCAAACCACTGACCACCTGCTGCAATGCAACCTGAGCCCTGCCACATGCACAATGGAGGACCTTCTTGCAGCAACACCAGAAGCACTCCAAGTGGCCAGATACTGGTCAAAGGACATTTAATCAACAACCAAACTCACACATTTTGTATTCTGTATTTTGTATTTTTGTATTTTGTCTGTTTGTTTCCTCTGTTCTGTTAGAAATGTAATATAACTGACTGGTTGCTGATGACTCGATAAATAAAATAAATAAATAAATAAATAAATAAAATACTGAAAGGAAGAACTTGCACTGGAAGTTAGCATAGAATTGTGGGATATAAATAAAGTAAATAATAACAACAACTTCTGGTGGAACTCCGTTGATGCGACGAAAGTGAACAGCCCAGGACTCACCTACATGTTCTTCTGTTATATGGATAGTGGGGAGTGCCTGGATTTTCTCTTTGTCAGCAGGAGGGGGACCTGTGTTTTCAAACTGATTCAGGAGCTGAAATGAAATATAGGGAATAGGGCCACATATAAGAAGGAGGACCACAACATCAAAAAATCGGTTTGCGTGGGAAGGGGTTCCCCCAAAGGTCATCCAGTCCAAGCCCTTTCAGATGCCCAAAGACGTGGGCTTTCACGGATGTGAAGTCTGACCTCCCCACCATGAGCTTTACCTGTGTGATAATGGCGTCCAAGCCGTTGGCCCCCCAGGCGTAGTCCATGGGATTCGAATGCAAGACCCCCCTTTGAAGACGGAAGAAAAAGAGTTGCTGAACAAAAGACCCTCCTCATAAATGTACACCAGAGTAACTTATCAACAGCACATAGCCCAGTCCCAGTAGCCCAACGTGAGAAAAAGAACAAAAACACACAGACCAATATTATCTCTTCCATAGGAGGTTTTTCTTTGTAGTGAAATAATATGGTTGCACTATTTACAAGAGGTTTCCATGACACAAATAAACAAATACATAGTAGCTTTACACACAGCAGCCTTCACGCTGGAGCTTTCTCACACGGTAGCTTTACACACAACTTTACATGAGGCTTTTAACCTGGAGCTTCTTTCACCGAAGCTTCTCACACCAGGCCTTCTCACACTCATTGTGAAGGCCTATTTCACAATCAGGCTTACTAACAATGAGGCCTATGTATTTCATGGCCGGAATCACTGAGTTGCTGTGAGTTTTCCGAACTGTCTGTCCATGTTCCAGAAGCATGCTCTCCTGACGTTTCGCCTGCATTTACACCAGGCATCCTCAGAAGTTGTGAAGTCTGTTGGAAACTTGGCAAGTGGGGTTTATGTATCTGTGGAATAATGTCCAGGGTGGGAGAAAGAACTCTTGTCTGTTTGAGGCAGGTGTGAATGGTGCAATTGGCCACCTTGATTAGCAGTTAATGGCCTTGCAGTTTCACAGTCTGGCTGCTTCCTGCCAGGGGGAATCCTTTGTTGGGAGGTGATTAGCTAGCTGGCCCTGATTGTTTCTTGTCTGGAATTCCCCTGTTTTCTGAATGTTGTTCTTTATTTACTATTTTGATTTTAGAAGTTTTCTTAATACTGGTAGCCAGATTTTATTCATTTTCATCGTTTCCTCCTTTCTGTTGAAATTGTCCCCATGCTTGTGGATTTCAATGGTTTCTCTGAGTCATTTGACATGGTGGTTGTGAGAGTGGTCCAGCATTTCTGTGTTGGTCAGTTCCCCACAAACCCCTCCAGTAATCAAATTTCAGCATATCAGGTACGCATGCCAAATTTGGTCCAGATCCATCATTGTTTGAGTCCACAGTGCTCTCTGGATGTAGGTGAACTACAACTCCCAAACTCAAGGCCAATGCCCACCAAACCCTTCCAGTATTTTCTGTTGGTCATGGGAGTTCTGTGTGCCAAGTTTGGTTCAATTCCATCATTGATGGAGTTCCCCTGTTTCTCTTCGATTGTAGATGAACTATAAATCCCAGCAACTACAACTCCCAAATGACAAAATCATAATTTTTTAAGTGATGGTCACTCCTTGTGTTGTGAGACATTTCGTTGCCAAATTTGGTGTGATTTTCTTCATTGGTTCTTTTGTTTTTAGGGTACTCATTATGCACAGAGTATTTTTATATATATAGATGTTAATGTTTTTAATAGTATTTTATTATTGTTATACCTTTTAATGGTTACGACTGTTGAGGCATTGAATTGTTGCCATATGTAAATCGCTCCAAGTCGCCTTTACTAAATATAGTAAATAAATAAATAAACCTAACTTGCCTAGTTTCCAACAGACCTCACAACCCCTGAGGATGCCTGCCATAGATGTGGGTGAAACATCAGAGGAGACTCACAGCAACCCAATGAGTCCTGTTCTCACACAGAGATTTACTTCACACTCCTCAGGAGGACACTAGTTTTGGCCCACTAACTCTAACAGGCTTCGGTCTACTCACTCTTTCAGTGCTTGACTCACACTTTGGTAATAAAAAATACACCCTTAATTTTAATATTTTTGACAAGAGTTAGATCTCTGGCCCTGGGAAATGCAGCTAGAGAGGCTTCATAAACCCCGCTGAGACTTGCCCAAGCTCCCAAGCGAATGACAACATAACCATAAACACAAGCTATCCTTTTCCATGATGACATGATGGCAACAGTCTTGGACAGCAATGGCTCCCAAAGTGACCCATTTAAGGTGGAATCCGGTGTCAAACAGGGATGTTATTGCCCCAACTTTATTCTCCATCTTCATCGCTATGATGCTTCATCTTGTTGATGGGAAGCTTCCCACCGGAGTGGAAATCATCTATCGGACAGATGGCAAGCTGTTTAACCTCAGCAGACTGAAAGCCAAAACCAAGTTTACAACAACATCTGTTATAGAATTGCAGTATGCTGATGACAACGTCATCCATACACATTCAGAAGAAGATCTACAAGCCACTCTAAACACCTTGCAGAAGCATACGAGAAGCTCGGCCTGTCATTGAACATTGAAAAAACCAAGGTGCTGTTCCAGCAGACACCAGCCAACCCCTCTCCAATGCCAGTGATACAGCTTAATGGCGTAACATTAGAAAATGTTGATCATTTCCGCTACCTTGGCAGCCACCTCTCCACCAAAGTCAACATCGACACCGAAATACAACACCGCCTGAGCTCTGCGAGTGCAGCATTTTTCCGAATGAAGCAGAGAGTGTTTGAGGACCGGGACATCCGTAGGGATACCAAGGTGCTTGTTTATAGAGCTATTGTCCTCCCAACCCTGCTATATGCCTGAGACGTGGACTGTCTACAGACGTCACATGCAACTCCTGGAACGATTCCATCAGCGCTGCCTCCGGAAAATCCTGCAAATCTCTTGGGAAGACAAGCGGACAAACGTCAGCGTGCTGGAAGAAGCAAAGAGCACCAGCATTGAAGCGATGGTCCTCCGCCATCAACTCCGCTGGACCGGCCACGTTGTCCGGATGCCCGACCACCGTCTCCCAAAGCAGTTGCTCTACTCCGAACTCAAGAACGGAAAACGGAATGTTGGTGGACAGGAAAAGAGATTTAAAGATGGGCTCAAAGCCAACCTTAAAAACTCTGGCATAGACACTGAGAACTGGGAAGCCCTGGCCCTTGAGCACTCCAGCTGGAGGTCAGCTGTGACCGGCAGTGCTGCAGAAGATGCACGAATGGAGGGCGAAAGGGAGAAGCGTGCCAAGAGGAAGGCGCGTCAAGCCAACCCCGACCGAGACCGCCTTCCACCTGGAAACCAATGCCCTCACTGCGGAAGAAGATGCAGAGCAAGAATAGGGCTCCACAGCCACATACGGACCCACAAGAATATTGGAAGACAATCATCCTCGGAAAACGAGGGATCGCCTAAGTTGATCTCTCTCTCCATGCAGCAAGGCGAAAGGTACAACTCACCAGGGCCCCACCCCAAGGTTTGGTATCGTGGTCGGTGCGATAATCCCGTTGACCAGCTGCTGGATGATTCTGCGGAGGAAAGGAGATACGAGAGGTTGAGTGACCATCTGTCTGGAGAGGTTGGGTTGTGCCCTCTTGCCCGGCAAAAGGAGATTGGATTGGATGGTTCTGGGGGGAATCCCTTCCAAGTCTAGGATTCTACGATCCCATAGTCCTATTTTTCCCCATGAATCGACTAATGTCTATGAGGCTAAATGGCCACCTGTTGAGAGGGTTTTGGTGGTGTCTTCTTGCCTGGCAGAATAGGGTTTGGACTGGATGTACCTTGGGGTCTTTTCCAATCCTATGAGTCTATGATTTGAGCCTTCCACAAATCATGTGGCCAGAAGTTCACCTTCGTAGACAAGTTCATGTCTATGAAGCTGGATGGCCATCTGTCGGGAGGGATCGGATGGTGTCTTCTTGCATAACAGAATGGGATTGAACTGGATGGCCTTTGAGGATCCCTTCGATAGCCCTATTTCTCCATGAACCAGCTAATGTATATGAGGCTTGATGGCCACCTGTCGGGAGGGATCAGATGGTGTCTTCCTGAATAATAGAATGGGATTGGACTGGGTGGGTTTTGGGGATCCCTTCTATAGCCCTATTTCTCCATGAACCAGCTAATGTCTATGAAGCTGGATGGCCATCTGTTGGGAGGGATCAGATAGTGACTTCATGGATTACAGAATGAGATTGGACTGGATGGCCTTTGGGGATCCCTTCGATAGCTCTATTTCTCCATGAACCAGCTAATGTCTATGAGGCTGGATGGCCATCTGTTGGGAGGGTTCAGATTGTATCTTCCTGCATAACAGAATGGGATTGGAGTGAGTGGGCTTTGGGGATCCCTTTTATAGCCCTATTTCTCCATGAACCAGCTTATGTCTATGAGGCTGGATTACCACCTGTTGGGAGGGATCAGGTGGTGTCTTCCAGCCTAGCAGACTAGATTTGGACAGGCTGTCCCTTGGGGTTCTCTTCCAACCCTATATTTCTATAGCCCTATATCTCCACAAACTGGCGAATGTCTATAAGGCTGGGCGGCCATCTGTCAGGAGGGTTTTGGTGGGGTTTTCCTGCATTCATAGGCTTGGACCGAATGACTCTTGGGGTCTCTTCCAACTCTAGGATTCTAAGATTCTGCAGCCCCATTTCTCCATGAATTTCTCTATATGGTTGAATGGCCATCTATCGGGAGGGATCAGATGGTGTCCTCCTGCATAACAGAATGGGATTGGGCTGGATGGCCCTTGGGGGCCTCTTCCAACCCTATGATAATCTAATTCTATGGACTGAGCCTTCCCTCAATCAAGTGGCCACAAGTGTTCTTTATGAACCTTTTAATGTCTATGAGGCTGCATGGCCATCTGTCGGAAGAGCTTGGATGGTGTTTTCCAGCCTGGCAGAATAGAATTGGACAGGATGTTCCTTTGAGTTCTCTTCCAACCCTCTGATTTTATAGCCCTGATGTCTATAGGTCCTTCCACACAGCCATATAACCCAAAATATCAAGGCAGATAATCTGAGTCCACAATGTGGATTTTATATAGCTACGTGGAAGAGGCCTAGGAGGCTGTGCGACCATCTGTCAGGAGGGCTTTGGTGGTGTCTTCCTGCATTCTCTGGGCTGGGGGGGGTACTAGTGGGTCCTCCCCCAGCTGTAGGATTCTATGATTCCAACACCCTATTTCTTTCCATCTATCAGGAGGGATCAGATTGTGTTGCAGATGAAAGTGGTTGGACCAGTTGACACTCGGGATCTTCTCCAACCCTATGATCGGACCCTGAAAGCACTTATCTCACAAGGTTTCCAAGGCAGGAATGGACCACTGCTTTCTCCCTTCTCCAGCTCTGAGAAGGCCTACCTCACAATATCTTTAGGAATGGATTGCTGTGAGTTTTCCAGGCTGTATGATGATGTTCTAGAAGCATTCTCTCCTGACATTTTCACCCACACCTGTGGCAGGCATCCTCAGAGATTGTGAGGTCTGTTGGAAACTAGGCAAGTGGGGTTTATATATCTGTGGAATAATGTTCAGGGTGGGAGAAAGAACTCTTGTATGTTGGAGGCAAGTGTGAATGCTGCAATTGGCCACCTTGAATAGCACTGAATAGCCTTACAGCTTCAAGGTTTGGCTGCTTCCTGCCTGGGGAATCCTTTGTTGGGAGGTGATTAGCTGCCCCTGATTAATTCTTGTCTGGAATGGGATGTTTGGGTGGTGGATGCTGTTCAGGTGGTCCAGGAACCTGTTGAGTTCTTCTTCTCCATAGCTCCAAATGGTGAAGGTGTCATCCACATATCTGAACCATATTGTGGGCTTTTTGTTGTTGTTTCCAGAGTTTGTTTTTCGAAGTGTTCCATGTAGAAATTGGCTATGACTGGGCTGAAAGGGCATTCACACTTGCCTCATGCAGACAAGAGTTCTTTCTCCCACCCTGGACATTATTCCACAGATATATAAACCCCACCAGTCTACTTTCCAACAAACCTCACAACTTCTGAGGATGAATGCCATAGATGTGGGTAAAACATCAGGAGTGAATGCATCTGGAACATGGCCATACAGCCCGGAAAAGTCCATCAACCCAGTGATTCCAGCCATGAAAGCCTTGGACAACATCTTTAGGATTCAGAGTCCAGTGGAGTCTCCTCTGGTGGTTCTCCACAACCTGCTAAGGTCTATGAGCCTGGATGACCCTCTATCACAGTGGTTCTCAACCTGGGGTCCCCAGATGTTTTTGGCCTACAAATCCCAGAAATCCTAACAGCTGGTAAACTGGCTGGGATTTCTGGGAGTTGTAGGCCAAAAACATCTGGGGACCCAAGGTTGAGAAGCACTGCTCTATCAGGACGGCTATGGTAGTGTCTTCCTGCAGGCCCGTAGCCAGGATTTCGTTTGGGGGGGGGGGGGGCTAAAAAATTTTCGGGGGAATTTGTCATGGTTTATTATGATGAGTCTGAGTGAAAGAGGGTCTACCCTAGCAAACCTTTTGTATCATTACCCCAATACCCCCATGCATATGGGATATATTGAGTATGGTGATCAGATCATGATATGAATAAACATAACAGTTTAAATAATGAACCAGTAAGGCCTTTTCGCGAACCACCATGAGAATTTGGGGGGGGGGCTGAAGCCCCTCAAGCCCCCCCCCCCCCCCCCCCCCCCCCCCACTACAGAATGGGGTTGGACTGGGGGGATCCTTCGGGTCTCTTCCAGCTCTAGGGTTCGGTGATTCCATCACCCTAATTCTCTCCAGAAGAGTGTGGCCATCTATCGGGAGGGATCAGATTGTGTCTTGGGCAGAATGGCTTGGACCGGCTGACCCTCGGGATCAGAGGAAGGAAGAGGGGGATAGGGACTCACCCTTCGAGCGTGGGGACGCCCTCATGCCGGCCGGCGGCCCTCCGCGTGGTGAAGCGTGCCCGAGGCTGGCGAGCCCCATAGCGGTGCCGGGACTGGTGCTCCCGCTCCCGTCGGTTCTCAGCATCCCGGTTGTCCTCCGGCTGGGCATTTGGCCCAAATGCTGGGAACTCAAAGTTCTCATCGATGATCCCGACTGTGAACTGGCCGTAGCCCTGGGGCAGGGTGAAGAGCTGCTGGTCCACATTCTAGCAAGGGGAGGGAGAGCACTGGTTACGACTGGGAGCCGCCAACGCT